ATTGTAGACCTCATTCGCAACATTAAGCATACAATGAGATTCATAAGTGGGTCTAAGCAATTATTTTAGCCACTGAGAACGATGACATAATCGATCTTTAAAAATTGCTTTGGACTTGAATTTTTAAATAGTGACTGCAGGGGAGCGCTAAGAAATAAACTTAGAGCTGTGCAAAGTTTTGTCAATCTTGAAATAATTTTTTCGTGTTCGGGGGTTACATCGATTTAATAAAGTTAATTACTTGGTGTAAAGTAAGCTATATACATACCAGCAAAAAATCGCGTCTGAGTAAAAAAATCAGATACATACTTTAGCCTGACTATGATAGACACTTGTACCTATACGATTTCTTACAAGAGAGATGTGTCACCTACCTAGTAACGAAGAAATATTATTCTTGACTCTGAGGTTAAACAGATTCGTCTCAGCGCATATGCAGAACCCTGCAAGTAATGCAAAATAATAATTAAAAAAAAACAGGACGTGTCAAGTTATGTATTGTTGGTTCTGTGATTCGATTGGCTAAAAGCTTGTGACCGATGGCGAAATTTTGCCATACCCTGCGATCTTATTGGTTGGGACTGTTTAGATTGACACAGGGCTTAGAGCTGGGTGCGTCAAACAGTTGCCCATTGAAGTCAAATTAAGATTTCCCGAATATTCTCTGTTTAACTTGATAAGCTCCACTAACCGAAAATGGCCTAAGGAATGAAAGCACCCACCGGTAAAACGGAAAAGTGTCATGGGTGATTGATGCGTTGACCCCTCTACTTAGAAGAATGGCCTTCGTAATCAAAACTGAACAAATGATAACTACAACTGAAGAATTTCGTCAACACCTCAGGAGTAAACTCCCCTAATTGTGGGGCTTCATCGAAGCCCTGTTACGGCATATCCTACGCCGTCAATCTAGCGGTTAGACAGAACGTTAGCTCGCTAACTGTTAATATTTCCACGGGAAAATATGAAGAGGTGCAAAGTGTTAAACTGGACTGTGGAAGATGGAGCTTACGGAAAGTTACTTTTTGGGGAGAGTGGTTAGTGAACAGAGTGATATAGTTTTTTTTTCATCCTATGGATTTTTCACGTGGTAACTTTTCAACTGCTTTGTATTTTGATTTTCTCCAACTTTGCTTATAAAAAATGCTGTGACCTATTTTTTACGTTTGGTTTCCTCTGAAAGGTTTTTGTAACCTTCTTTTATATAGGCTTGATGAACAATTGGTTGAAGTTGTTTTTAAAAGGACTGCAGTGCATGGGGTGATTCTCAGGTCAAAATCTCTGAAAACAGTTTCTTTTAAAGAGACAGGGCCTTTTAAAAAGGTATCTGGGACTTGAGAAGCGTAACAGCCAGAGGCGATGTCGTGAGAACGTTCTTGAACACGCTGTAGGAGTCATTAGATATCTCAATTGACATTTACCTGAATAGATTATGTATGAACTCAAGGGTTCACTCTATTGTTATAACTCTATTTTGCCTTTGTTGACGAGTAAAAACCATAATGCTTGTGCCAAATAGCAAATCGTAACCCTCTGTCTGTTACTTATAAATCAGAAACTATTGGAAAAAATACTCAAAACACTTCTCGGCTCGGCTACTTATCCGGTAAAAGTGTGCTAATGATGAGTGTCTCGCTTGAAAGGAAACATGAACAAACTGTTGATTAAAAAATTGTAGACCTCATTCGCAACATTAAGGATACAATGAGATTCATAAGTGGGTCTTAGCAATTATTCTAGCCACTGAGAACGATGATATAATCGATC